CCCGCGCCTCAAGTTCAAAATGCAGGGGTCCACCCCTGCATTCCAGAAGCAGGATTATGACGCATACCTTCACACAGGTCCTACGTGGCAAATCCCTTCAACCAAGATGCCTTTGAAGAGAGTGCAGAGAACGACTCCTTTATGACAAGGAATCAACAGCTCCAAGATCAGAGTTGAGATCCAAAGTATTCTGAAAATTCGTCCCAGTCAACCATGAACTTTTGAAAACTTTAGAGGGGGTTCTGTAGGCTGTCTAAAAATCACAACAGATAGCTAATCCCTATCAAACACCGACGATAAAAGTTATAATCTGACGACTTCCGGAAGGTTACAATTTAAAAACTTTCACGTAGATCGATGAAGGTTATAATCTGATGACCTTCGCAACAATTGATGAAAGCTCTAATCAACAGCCTTCACAATCAACATCGGGAGTTACAATCTGACGACTCTCATATTTTTGAGGAGCCAAGATGAAGATTACTGAAAAATGGTCTTTTCAACGCTCTACAGAAGAAGCTATAAGTCATTAGCTCCTTCTAAAACATGGAATTCACCCTCGCGTATCAATTCCTGAAACGCAGGTGACCCCCACGTTTCCAAACTTCAACAAGCAAAACGCAGGCGACCCCCGCGTTTCAATTCTTGAAACACAGGCGATCCCCGTGTTTCCAAGCTTCAACAAATAAAACACAAGTGACCCCACATTTTTCAACACCCAGTGGGTACCCAACTCCGCATCTCTAATCCTAAGACGCAGAGTTAGGGTCCTGAACGCCAACTTGGGCATTGTTTGACTCATTCAACATGAGCTAAACGGTTCTAAAACCATTTCCCACGATTTGGAGGCGGTTACACCCCATTATGGAGATATTTTAGGGGGGATTACACCCCTTAAACCCTTGAACAGTTTTAGAATTGTTTCCCATGATTTGAGGGTGGTTACACCCTACGTAGGAGCGAATTAAGGGGGCGGTTATATCCCTTAATCCTCTATAAATAACTAAAAATCAATTCAGTTCAAGGTTTTTCATGCAGAGGGGATTTTTTGGCTCTGGGATTGATCCTTCTGTTTGGGCAGCAAAGAAGAGATCTTCGGCTGATTTTTTGGGGAATTACTGGAGCTTCTTGTAGCGACAAAGTTCCTTGGAGCCTTCGGCCTTGGCTTGTCAAACCGATTTTCGGTTAAATCAACTCTTTCATAGAGTTTCAAACTCGTTCAGAGTTATTAACTCATCAAGAGTTCTAAACCTTGCTTTACAAGTTCTCCACAGTGTCAAATCGTGAAGAGGAGATACCGTTCCAGCGAATCAAGACGTTCGGATCGTCAACGGAGAACAAACTCGATGCGAGCATTCGAGGGAGGCACTCCATCATCATCGTGAAGAACCCAGAATTAAACAAAGGGGAGAATCCAGATCATTCTCCTCTCTTTTGTAATCAGGAAATCCAATTATAATCGAGATTGAGAAGGTTGTAACCATTCTTTTTCTAAGCAGTTAGAGAGAATAAATCAAATACGATTCTTTCATTATTACAAATTTCCACCAAACAATATGCTCGACATGTTGCAAGGTGCTAAAGTCATCTTAAAAATTGATCTTCAGAGTGGTTATCATCAACTTAGACTTAGACCCGAAGATGAATGGAAGACGACTTTCAAAACTAAAGAGGGGCTTTACGATTGGCTTGTCATGACATTCGGACTTTTTAATGCACCCAGTACATTCATGAGGCTTATGAATCAGGTTCTGAAGCCACTTATTAATAAATTTGTTGTTGTCTATTTTGACGATATCCTAATTTATAGTAAGTCTGAAACTGAGTACGTTGAACACTTGAGGGGAGTTTTACGAATATTGTAGGAGAATGAACTTTATGTGAATCTAAAGAAGTGCAATTTTATGCTTCCTAAACTGCTATTCCTGGGATATGTCGTATCTGGCGATGGCATACAAGTGGTTGAGGATAAAGTGCGAGCAATCCGTGATTGGCCCCGACTAACATCATGGGTGAAGTTTGCAGTTTTCATGGTCTTGCCATGTTCTATAGGTGCTTCATCTAGAATTTTAGTTCCATCATGAAACCTATTACAGAGTGTATGAAGAAAGGGAAATTTTAGTGGGGTGAAGAGGCAGACACCATTTTGCAATTATTAAGGAGAACCTGACCATCGCCCCTATCCTTGTCTTACTAGATTTCAGTAAGGCATTTGAACAAGAGATGGACGCCTTTGTTATCGGCATTGGTACAGTTCTATCACAATCGGGTCATCCTATAGCTTTTATTAGTGTAAAACTATGTGATGCAAGGAGGAAGTGGACCACTTATGAGATCGAGTTGTATGCAGTTGTCCGGGCAATTAAGCATTGGAAGCGATATTTATTTTAGTAAGAATTCATGTTGAATGCAGATCATGATACTCTAAAAAATATGAATAGTCCGAAAAGTCTTAATCGGATGCATCCTCATTGGGTGGTTTAATTACAACATTTTACTTCTGTAATCAAACATAAAAGTGGGCAACATAATAAGGTAGCTGATGCTTTGAGTTGTCGGGCAAATTTGTTGGTGACTATACAGAATGAAGTAATAGGGTTTGACTATCTCAAAGAGTTGTACCAAGATGATGTTGACTTCAAAAATGAGTGGGTACGGTGCAACACGGGAGATGTGGCTGGTCCTTTCATGTTGCAAGACGGGTTTCTATTTTACAAAGACTGGTTGTGCATCCCACAAGGATCCCTGCGAGAAATGTTGATTGCAGAATTTCATCAAGGGGGTCATTTTGGCAGGAATAAAACAATTGCTATGGTGGAAAAACGTTACTATTGGCTACATTTGAAGCGTGATGTCTCTCGAATAGTGTAGAAGTATATGATTTATCAAACTAGCAACGGACAGTCTCAGAATACAGGATTATACACACCTTTACCTATTCCTGTAGCTCCTTGGGAAGATCTTTCTATGGATTTTATGTTGCGACTACCACGTACACAAAGAGCTCATGATTCTATTTTTATGGTGGTTGATCGGTTCGCAAAGATGGCGCATTTTATCCTGTGTAAGAAAACTTCAGATGGTGCTCACATTGCCGGGTTACTTTTTCAAGAGGTGGTTTGCCTGCATGTTATTCCAAAATCCATAACTTTAGATCGGCATACCAAGTTTCTTAGTCATTTTTGGCGTTCATTGTGGTATATGTTTCGGACTGAGTTGCAGTTCAATAGTTCTTTTCATACCAAAATAGATGGGCAAACTAAAGTGGTCAATTGGACCCTAGGGTCAATTATTTGGTGTTTGTACAGTGACAGACTAAAGTAGTGGGATTTGACTCTTGCTCCTACTGAGTTTGCATTTAACGTAGTCAATCGCACAACTAGTAAGACTCTGTTCGAGATTGTGTATCAACGACCTCCACCACACACATAACGTAGTCAATCGCACAACTAGTAAGACTCTGTTCGAGATTGTGTATCAACGACCTCCACCACACACACTTGATTTGATACCTTTACCAAAATTAGACTCTGTTCGAGATTGTGTATCAACGACCTCCACCACACACACTTGATTTGATACCTTTACCAAAATTACCGGGATATAGTATTGTTGCTGAACATCTAGCTGCGAAGATTGATGAAATACAGGTTGAGGTCAAGCATAACATTGAAGCGTTCGATGCTACATATAAACAATCTGCTGATAAGGGTCGTTGGCCTTAAGTGTTTGTTGAATGTGACTTGGTGATGGTGCATTTGCGTAAGGAGAGATTTCTCATAGGAACATATAATAAGCTGAAACCGAAGAAGATTCGGCCTTGCAAGACTTTAAAGAAGATTAATGACAATGCCTATATTGCCGACCATCCAGATGGGTAGGCGATTTCTCCGACATTCAATGTTGTAGATTTGTTCCAATAATTCCTTGATGATACTCTTTATCCTAAAATGTCCTCGAGAACGAGTCCTTTTCAAGCAGGGGTGAGTGATGTAGGACAAAAAGCTATGTAGGTTCGAAAAATAAGATTAGGAAATAAATTCAATGATAGAGTCAAATTAGGTTAGGAAACAGATTCAATTTTGATTCATGATTTGTTTCCTCTATTATAGATAGTCTTTTTTGGGTAGGATTTGATACTTTTTTCTTTGTAATTCTAGTATTATTAGGAGTCTTGTTTGTTTTTCTATTTAAGAAGAGTCATGTAACCAAAAGAATATATCTTTGAATTAAATAAAACTTTTCTTGAAGAAAGTTTTTGTGTGTTTTCTTGAGTTTGTGGAAGAAGTTCTTATGGCAAGGCTTCTTTGTTTTCGCCTTTGCGTCAGTTCACCTGAATCCCAACCCGATTTAATTGGCTTATAAAGACCAAGCCCAAGAATCTACCCAAAACCAGTCGTTTAACCTAACTCATCATAGACGAGTAACACCACGCCCTAATTAGTTCTAAATCTCAATTATCACTGGCTTGATTATACCGTAAAAACAAGATGAAACAAAAATACCAAAATAGTTTAAGCACAAATTAAAAATATCTTATAGCCCTTTTTCGAAGCAGCCCGTTCTTCAAAAAACTAAAGTGCAGCTTAATGAAGAAACGGTGATGATGTTGAATCTAAGGTAGACTTTTTTTGCTAAAATGATTTGAAGATGCTGAGCCGTATGAGAAAGCATTTGACGAGGATCAGAATGTTCAAATCACAAATCAATTCTTCTTCATAAACGCTAGAATAAGCTCTCTCTTTGTTCTCTCTAAAGATCTCCTTTTCTCACAGCATAGAATCTCAACAAAATATGATCTCTTCCTTTAAAGAAAAATTGTAGAATGCCAAGTGCTTTTAAGAGAGATAAAATAATTAAGAGATGAACTAATTTACTTGCCTTTAAAGAAAAATTGTAGAATGCCAAGTGCTTTTAAATTATGAGATGAACTAATTTATCCTATACAAAGATGCAATATTTATATATGAAAGGAGAATGAGAGGGGCTTGAATGCAAATATGACCGTTGCATTTTTTGAACTGTTGCTTGTCACTGTAGATATAAGGATTCTCTCTATTGTCTTTGATTTGAAAGATGCTCACAAGGACCCTATATTTGGAATATGGGATAGGGAGCTTGCAAGGACAAGGGATGAGGAGCCACTTGGAGTTGCTCAGACAAACGCTCTTGTAGGGACTTTGATTATTCAGTCACGTTAGTACTCAGACAAACGCTATTGTAGGGACTTCGATTATTCAGTCACGCTCAGCTTATTTTTCAACGTCTCCATGTGCTCCGCATATTCAGCTTTTAACCTTACCTAGATCTCGTGCAGCGCGTGGCTGGATATATTTCATTCCTCTCCTTAAATTTTTTCCCCCCATTCAAATTGATCTTGGAATCCTAAAAAAAAAAAAAAAAAAAAAAAAACCCGGATTCAAGATGGAGATTCTTCTCCCCCTCTTCTGGCTTGGCTCATCCTTCACGCTTCCTCATGCTTACTTTCTTATTCGGCCGCCGCTCTACTTGCTCAACATCCACCCTCTGATTCGAAACCTCCCCACAATCATCAAGAAGCAGCCATAGGCTAGCGGACTGGGCTTCCGATCTATCTCCTCGCAAGCTCCACCGGCACAGCTCACGGTCGCCCTCTCGTGCTCACCTCGAGCCTCTCAACGTCGAACACATAAGCAAATCCATTCCACAACTTCCCCAAGACCAGGATCGTCACCGGAACCTTCCACGACCTCCTCGGCCAACGGATCATCAACGTCAACGGCCGAGCAGTGTGAGCGGGGTCACAGCGCAAGACGGCGAGCTACGAGTTCAGCACCGGCTCCCTCCGCACCTTCATACTCGACAAGGTCCTGCGCGCGGCCGAAGAGAGGTTGATCCCTCTGCTGCAGACGGCAAGCGTCGAGGGAGGGGCTGTTGATCTCCAAGACGTGCTCGAGAGGTTCGCATTCGATAATATCTGCTCGATAGCTCTTGAACGTGATCCAGATTGCCTTTCGAAAGCGAGCGAGAGCGGAGAGAGACTCTACCGCGCGTTTGAGGACGCGGGCTACCTCAGCGTGGAAAGGGCCAAGCTCCCCTTTCCCCTCATATGGAAGTTCAGGAAGTTACTTAACATCGGATCGGAGAAGAAACTGAGGGAGTCCATGTCGACAATCCACGAGCATTTCACCGACTGTATCCGCAGGCCGACGGGGTCCGAAGAGAAAGGGGGCTTCTTATCGAAGTTCAGGAAAGACGGAGCAAACTCGGACGAGCTTATCCGTGATATGCTGATAAACTTTGTGATTGCAGGCCGCGACACGACCCCTTCGGCGCTCACCTGGTTCTTTTGGCAAGTATCTTCAAGACCGGATGTAATCGGTAGGATTCGGGAGGAGATTAGACTTATCAGAGCAAGCCGGGAAATCAGTCGATCTTTCACATTCGAGATGATTCAGGAGTTGAATTACCTACAAGCAGCAATCTCAGAGTCAATGAGGTTATACCCTCCGATATGTCTGTTGACACGAGAGTGCGGGGCGGACGATGCTCTACCCGATGGGACTATCGTGAAGAAAGGATGGACGGTGATGTACAGCCCGTTGGCGATGGGGCGAACAAAGGGGATATGGGGGGAGGATTGCTTGGAATTTAAGCCTGAGAGATGGTTGGTCGACGGGGTATTCCGACCGAAGAGTGCGTTTGAGTATACAGTGTTTCACACGGGGCCGAGGATGTGTCCGGGGAGGGAGATGGCTTTCCTGCAGATGAAGATCGTGGCAGCGAGCATTTTGGAGAGGTTTGAGATGGAGGTGGGAGAGGAGAGGGGGGAGCACCAGGTTCATATAGCGTTGAGAATGGAAGGAGGATTGCCTGTGAGAGTCATGAAGAGAAGGGATAGCAACGGTTGATTATTGATGAGCAATTTAAGGTATTTTCCGTTGGGGTTATTTGCAGACGTAGTTATTTAGTGTATTTTCGGGGAGATTTAGTGATAGGATCGCAAGTGTATTTTCTAATAAAAATAGATCAAGGGCAGTGATAGAGTAGTTTGATCCTCTTAGCACTGGAGGTTTACCTACAACGAACATAAATGGGGTTTGGAGTAGGATTTTGATCGGGCGGATCAATGCTCGGCTCAATTCAGCTGAAGTTTCTGTTGCAGACAATGGCTTGCTTGGGGTAGTGAACTTTCGTACCCAAGAGTGATCTTCATCAAGGAGATCCTCTCTCACCATTGATTTTTGTTTTAGTGGACGGTGGCCTGAGTCATATGATTAATAATTGAAGATGAACAAGTGCTCAGGGATCGGATCGGAAACCCAAAATTGGTGACTTTCAGTCTCATTTTCAAATTCTAAGTTAATATTATGAGAATAAGATCTTACCTTGTTTTAATGTTGTGGTTGCAATTTTGTTGATTTTTGAGGAATTTAGTGCCGATTTATGGGGGAAAAAAATTGAAATTTGTTATGATGTTGGAATTGAGATCTCACTGTAATTCCCTATATTGTTAACTGAAAAATGTTAGCTTTAACTTAAGGTAATTTTACTCTGGTTTAACCAACACACTTGAAATCAGTCTACCCCTTTTTATGATTTTGGCAGCTTCAGCTGCACATAATTTATAAGGCGCATGAGGATTTTCAATAGTCCAAGGAGTCTAATATAGGTTAAAGGCTGTAATGCAAAGTTTAAGGTTTAGGGGCTGTTTGTTTGCCTAAAAAAAAGAAGGAAACCAAAGAAATGGAAAACTATTTCTCAAAAAAGTTATTTTGGGAATGTTTGGTTGGCTAAAAAAGATGGAAGTCAAAGAAATGGTGATGAGATGATGTTAGTTGTCATCTTATTATAGGATGATGTGAGTGATTTTTTAAGAAAAATTGTTTTGATGTTGTTTGGTTGGCGAAAAAAATAAGGAAATGGATTATAAGAAACATATTTCTTATAATAGGTTGTTTTCTTTTGTTTGGTTCATTCTTAAAATTAAGAAAATAGATGAGATGAGATGGGTTGTCATTATATTATTGGATGATGTGACCCACAATTAAGAAAATCGTTTTCCTAACTTTTTGAGAGGAAATGAGTGGAAATGAAATGTTAATGAGATGCGATGAGTTGTCACCATCTTATTGGATGATGTGAGTGATTTGAAATGATGAGATGAGTTGAGTGATGTTGTGAATGAAAATAATGTTTTATTAGATGTGGTGGATGAGTTGTTGGATGAAAATAATATTTTATTAGATGTGGTGGATGAGTTGTTTGATGAAAATAATATTTTATTAGATGTTGTGGGTGATTTTTAGGGATGGAAATGAATACAATTGTACTTCTTGAGATTTTTACTTTTTCATTTATATTTCTTGGTTTTTAGGAAATAACCAAACAGACCCTTAGGGGCTGTTTGTTTCGTTTCCCCCATAATCCAAAACCCACTTTCCTTCACTTTTTCACTTTCCCCCACTTTCCAAAACCCATTTTCCTTCACTTTCTCCATTTTCCTCCAATAATATTGTGACAACTCATCTCATCACATCTCATTTCATACTTTTAAAAATAAACAAAACACAAGAAATGAGTCACATCAATCAACTCATCTAACTCACTTTCCCCCACTTTTCTTCATTTTCTATCATTTTTAAAAATTACTCACATCATCCAATAATATGGTGACAACTCATCACATCTCATTAAATTTTCCTTACATCCCTATTCACCAAAAAAACAAGGAAATTGATTTTCCTAAGTATGTGTCACATCATCCAATAATATAATGACAACTCATCTCATCTCATCTATTTTCCCCCACTTTTAAGAATGAACCAAACACAAAAAAAGAATCTAAACAAGGAAAGTGGAGGAAAACATCAAAAATTACTCACATCAACCAATAATATGGTGACAACTCATTTTCTCCCCCACTTTCGGTTATAGCTTTGACGAACAAAACCTCTGAAAGTTGAGGAAAACATCAAAATTCACCTTATTTTCCCCCACTTTCGGTCTTTTTTTGCGAAACAAACATGCTTTTTTTTGGGAAAGTGGAGGAATTCAATGTTACCTTTCCTTTTCCAGTGAATAGAAGGAGACCAAATTACGGACAATTCAACATAAACAATATCATATGATGCATGTAAACAAAACCCAGCAAGTTTGCAGGCTTTTTTTTTTATTAGAACACAATCAAATGATGAATTAGAGAAATAATATAACAAATTACCAACTCAAAATCTACAGTGAATATAATGTTAGCAAGATTTGCAAAATTAGAGATTAACAGATCAATCTCAGAGCTCAGGCTTTTGTCAGCTCTTCTTTTGCTATCCATGTTCTGTTCCAGTTTGAGATTAACAGGTGAGTTTCAGTGGCCAACTTGTCTATAACTTTGGTTTCGTTGCATATTGTCTTCTAATCTTTTGCCAAAATTTGATTTTTAAGGCACAGGTCTTGAAATTTTTCGTTTTGTTAAGTGTGGTTTTTGGGAGCCCTTATGATTTTGCACCTTTTGCTTGAATTTGGTAATTTGGGGTTGTATGGGTTTGAGTTGTAAGGGATGTTTAGTTATTAAGTGAGGTTTTTTTTGGTGCTGCACATTTCTGAAAAAAGCTTATTCTTCTCTATATTAGCAAAATTTTCCTTTGCATATCATTCTGATATTGGGCTGTTTAATTTGTGGAAGAAATTTTTCTGTTTTTAGACACAAAAGCTGATGTTTAAGAAACATGAATGGATCAGACGCTGTGCCTGACATGATTTTTGAGTAAAACCACAGAGGAAAGATTTGAAATTGTTTCAAATTGTGTTGTTGTGTTCTTAAGTGTTGGGGATTCAAAACAATCAAATCGAACCTTTGCCCTTCTGGACCTTGTGTTGAAAGTAGGAAAGTAGGAAAATTGACCTCAAGTAAAGATTAAAAACTTGCAGAAATAATAAAGGAGACGAACACACAGATTTAACGAGGTTCGGCAACGTGCTTACGTCCTCGGGAGCCACACCACACAATTCTTTTGATTAATTGAACAAGAAATACAAGCTCTCAAACTAGGGTTTTATCTCTCTGAGATTCTCTCTTTTTCTACTGTCAAAAACTCTCCTTTTTCATGTATATACAAGCCCTAAAAACGTTTAGGTATATATAGAGTCCTAAAAGAAACAGAATCAAAAACAGTTTAGGAAACTGTTTGACTGCGTAGTGGTCGACCGCGCAGATAACGCAGTCGACCACGACGGTCGACCGAATCACTTTCCTAAGAACAGAAAACATTACAGTGTTGGCGTGGTCGATCGCCACGGTCGACCGAACTGATTCCCGAGACCAAAAATCCCTACAGGGTTGGCGCGGTCGACCGTCGCGGTCAACCTCCTTCAGCTCCAGCCTCTTGTCAGCTTCTGTACACGTTCGCGGTCGACCGCTACGGTCGACCATGCAGGCCTCCTCCTGTTTTTCTCGATTTTATCTCTCGTTTTGATTCCAGCTTCGGCTTCAACTTTGGGTCTACACTTTAGACTAACAGTCTCCCACTTGGAGACCAAAGTGCCATCAGCGAGTTCACCCAAGCTCTCCCTTCTTCGCAAGTATCTTTTCCTCCCCGGAAAAATCATTTCTTCAATCATCAATATCCCGCCGATCTTGTCGATCTTCATAGTGAGGCTCCACCTTCGTCTTCTACTCGTGAAGGCCAATTGAAGTTGCGCACAACTCTAGTTTCTCAATGGTAACTGCCTTCGTCAACATGTCCGTCGGATTTTGACTCCCCAAAATCTTCATTAAGTGTAACTTTCCGTCTTCAACTAGCGAGAGTATAAAATAATATTTGACATCGATGTGCTTCGTTCTGGCATGATATACTGGATTCTTGACAAGATGTATAACGCTCTAACTATCATAATAAAGAACTCCTCTCCCTTGCTTCAGATCCAACTCTTCCAAGCACCCGTTCAACCAAAACATTTTCTTGCTTGCTTCGGTCACCGCGACATACTCAGCTTCAGTTGTAGATAAAATCACAATCTTCTACAGATATAAGACCCAGCTCACTGCTGTCGACGCTAAGGTATAAACATACCCTGTGGTGCTTCGCCTCGTATCATGATCACCGACAAAGTCCGCATCTACGTATCCCTGTAGCACCAACTCCTTCCTCCTAAAACATAGTGGTTTGTTCGTTATTCCCCTCAATTACTGTAGGCGTATAAAATTGCTTATAGGTCCCTTAGCATAGCTCATCACAAACCTACGAACCAACGAGGCGACGAGGTTGACGAATCGCACGCAAGCAACGGAATACATCCATTCACGTGTGGAATCAAGCCAAGGGTTCGAAGAATCAACGAGTCATCCAAACAAGAGTGGACTCGGATGAATCACGATCGAATCAAGATCAGTTTCGGACTCGAACTCAGAAGTGGATTTACTGCCAAAATAGGAATCGGATTTACTGCTAAATCAGAGTCTAAGTCAACCGAAAAAACGGATACAACGGACAAAACGACGAAACAGAAAAGCCTAAGGGGGGGGACTTGAAGATTCAGATCTGACTCTCGGCGAGCGTCCACGTCACAAAAGGCAGGATTTCGAGAGAGGTAAAAATCAGATCTGAGATCTACATGAAATCACACTCCGGATCAAAGCTTGGCCTTTGATCCCGAGAATTAAAGGCTACTATTTCCTTGGCGAAATAGTACCCTCGGCTATCATTTCCTTGGTGAAATAATACCCGTCGAATCGTGTAGAACTGACCGGATCTAGATCGCGCGGTGGTCCACGGATTAACCCCGGCGTCGGCAAAGAACCCACACAAGCAAGAGACCGCAAAACAGGATCTTGCGATTCGTTCGACAAATAAGGAGAAAGTTGTAATTTTTATTTATTTCTTTTTTATTTGATTTTCGTTGTAACCGGATCTAAAAAAAAGACCGATCTTTTGTAACCGATAAACTATTACAAGAATTTGCAAGTGGAATCAAATGATTGAAGAGGCAAGATTTTCCCAGCGACAATGTGGCGACCACAGTGGAGCCACGATTCGCTGCGAGATCGTCACGTCGGCAGCCGCGGATCTCAATCCCGGTCGAGGGAGGAGGTCGAGTATGAATAGACCAGGCCAAGTTCGAGAGTAGCCTTTCGTCGTCGTCCGGATCACTCCCCTCCCAAGTCCAAGACTTCTCCTCCAGGAGAAAAGCTCGTTGGTTTGAAGTAAGTTACAGAATACAAACGACGGCTCCAGTCACCAAGCTGACCACAAAAGTTGCGTCAGGTGAAGTTCCAACGACCTCCAATGAGGTCAAACCTATTCTTGTCCACGCTTCTACTGTTGAGGGCTGTTGTGAAGCTCTCTCAAAGAGAGTCCCGCCAGAGGCAACGTCGCTGCGTTGCGCGATAATCGCTAAGGCGATGGAGTCTACAGAAGGAGTCTGTACACGCGGATCTGACGAATAGAGGGGCAAACAGCTCAACAACTGAAGTAATG